ATGGTAGCCTAGGAGGAGGTGCTTTCCTCCCCCTGTACCATAGGGCCAAGAGGGCCATCAGGAGTGCCAGTACAGAGGCACGGTTTTCACAACCCAAACACCAAGACGGTGGATCGCATTTGTTCGCTCAACTCGGAAAAAAAATTTAATTCGAAACCTAGGTTGAACCTGGGTTGAACTTGGATTGAACCTGGCTTGAATCTGGGTTGTTTAATCTTGAAAGGGGACGAGACTGTTTTTTGTTTCTTAAAGCAAACAGAGGAGAAGAGAATTTATTCTAAATTCCACCCCCCTCGAATATTCTTTTGTTTTTCGTATTTCATTCTTCGAAAGAAGGGAATTTGTTCTAAATTCTACCCCCCTCGAATTTCTCGAATCTTCTTTTGTTTTTTGCATTTTTTGCAGCCGGACGTTCATATAGTGCATACTCGGAGACTATAAATGCCATCTCAGGCGTGCGCCCAGCCTTGAAACGCCTTCTCACACCAGCCTGGGACTTGGCTTTTGCGTGGATTGCAGAGGAGCCCTACTTGCACCATTTGGCGATGCCCTTAAGCATCCTTCTGGGTTTGCTTTCCTGCTGTTTGCTGTGGGGCTGGTTAGAGGAGGCCTCCGTTTTCACCATGAGCTGGTGTGGACTGCTCAGGATTGGAGAGGCAACCAAGGCCAGGCGTGCTGACCTAATCCTGCCGAGGGACTCAGCGCCAGGCATCGAGCATGCCCTCCTTTGCATCAGGGCTCCAAAAACACGGGGGCGTAGCGCCCACCATCAGGCCGCTCGCATAGATCCTCTCGACATCGTCTTCCTGCTCGACCTCTGCTGGGGCGAGTGTCCGAGCGAAACTCCGCTGTGGCCTTGGTCAGGTGAGACACTGCGAAAAAGGTTGCGAGCGCTCCTGGTAGCCCTAAAGCTGCCTGAGCGCCGCGGCCCGAGCACGAGGACCTTCGATTTGGGGTCATTTCGGCCTGGCGGTGCGACATGGATCCTAGGAGCCACTGACAACGCGGAGCTCTGCAGACGCAGGGGCAGATGGCTGTCAGCAAGAGTCATGGAGGTATACTTGCAGGAAGTCACTGCGGCCGTCTACATGCCCCGCCTCTCGCCAGAGGTGAGGCGGCACATCTCGGAGCTCGCCACGGCCTTCCCGGAGCTCCTCAACCAGGCCGCTTCTCTAAAGCACATGGGCATCCCCTCCAAGGTCTGGTACCAATGTTTCCTGCGTGCTCCGGACGCTTTTAAGTGAAGACTGCACAGAGGCAGCAGAAAGGGAGCGAAGCCTGCTTATTCAGGGTTAGGGGTTATGAGGGTTTGGGTTTTGGGTTCTTTTGGGTTCAGGGCTCAGGGTCTTAACGGTTTAGGGTTTAGGGTTTTAGTTTTTTTTTTGCCACCCGTCTAGCGGGGATAGGGATTAAAAAGGGATCAAAAAGCAAATAAAAAATGATCAACAAAACCCTAAGCCCTAGGCCCTAAACCGTAAACCCTAAAACCTAAGCCCTAAACCCTAAACCCTAAACCCTCTCTATCACATAGATATTTAAGCCTTCGTGACTTCTCGGTCAATCTGCCCCCCATTGTTCGTGGCTTTTCGGTCAATTTCCCCCCATTGTTCGTGACTTTTCGGTCAATCTGACCCCAATGTCCGTGACTTTTCGGCCACATTGCCCCCCATTCTTCGTGACTTTTCGGTCAATCTGACCCAATGTTCGTGACTTTTCGGTCAATCTGGACCAGTGTTGGTGACTTTTCGGTCAATTTGGACCAGTGTTGGTGACTTTTCGGTCAATCTGACCCCAATGTTCGTGACTTTTCGGTCAATTTGACCCCAATGTTCGTGACTTTCAGTGTTGGTGACTTTTCGGTCAATCTGGACCAGTGTTGGTGACTTTTCGGTCAATCTGGACCAGTGTTGGTGACTTTTCGGTCAATCTGACCCCATTGTTCGTCGGGGGTGGGCCCCAGAAGGTTCAGTGGAAAACGTTTCCGAATTGGGTAGGTAAAACTCTTTGGGGTAAGATGAAAACCCTTTTTATTTTCTTAATGTTATGGGATTGTTTGGGCGGGTGGGCTCCTTTGCTAAGCCTGGAACCCCCTAATGATTATGAATGCTAGAACAGTGACCCTCTGAACCTTAAACCCTGAACTAAACCCTAAACCCTAAACCCTAAACCTTAAACTAAACCTTAAAACCTAAACCCTAAACCCTAAACCCTAAACCCTAAACCCTAAACCCTAAACCCTAAACCCTAAACCCTAAACCCTAAACCTAAACCCTAAACCCTAAACCCTAAACCCTAAATTCCCACCCGGCCTGCTTAGGCCGTACCCACCCTATACTAGGGTGCCTGGACCCAGAATTATACCCGGCAGCGATGAACACCTTTACTGGATGGACAATGGGTGGAGCCATTGGAGAGTGGTCGAATTCAGCCCCTAGGGCTGAGCCTTGCTTTAGGACCACTTACGTGGTGCCTTATATTTAGAAGGGGAACCCCAGGATCCTCCTCTTGATGAGAATACCCTAAAGCCCGGGCTGGAATCCTTCGGAGGACGTTTCCCTGGGGGGGCCCTAGCCCCGCCCCCCCCTGGCCCCGCCCCTGGCCCCCCCCCCCCTTGCCCCCCCTCCCCCCCTACCAATGTTTGGTTTCATCAAGGTTTGGATCGTTTTCATGGTGGGAATTGAGGGCGACAGCCCTAAACCCTAAAAGGTAGTGGTTTGGTTGGTGGCCTGTGAAAGCTCACAGCGGGTGGGGAGAAAGAACCCAGCACCAATGAAATTGTTGGATTACATTGAAAACAGATGCCTTCGCGTGAGATGCCGCCCCCCCACGTAGGGGCGCCATTCACACATGGTACTTACTGCCGCTGCGCGGCGAGAAACCCTAAACCCTAAACCTTCAACCCTAAACCCTAAACCCTAAACCCTACACCCTAAACCCTAAACGCTAAATTCCCACCCAGGCCTGCTTAGGCCGTGCGCGCGCTTGTCTAGGGTGCCTGGACCCAGACCTGCACCCGACAGCCACGCTAGAGTTGTGTTGAGCGTGAGCTGCACTTCCAGTGCCGGTGCAGTACCCCGCCTGGGGCACCGGCCCCCTGCCGCTTCCCTGTCAGGGCCCGACGCGCCCCCGCGTGGCGACCTGGCACGGGGGAACCGAAAATGGCTTATGCACGTCGCACTCCGGAACCAGCCCCTTCCAAAACCTGGTTCGTCGGGAAGTGGGAATTTAGGGTGCTCAGCAACCTTTCTGGTTGTGGTGGCTCCTTCAATATACGCCGCCGCGACGTATGCCGCCCCCTCACTCCCTGGGTGTGTTGGCCGGCGGGGCGAAAAGCCCTAACCCTAAACCCTAAACCCTAGACCTAGGCCCTAAACCCTAGACCCTAGACCCTAGACCCTAGACCCTAGACCCTAGACCCAACCTAGACCCTAGACCCAATGTAGCGATGCTCCACGTGGCTTAGCGCAATACACTTCGGAACCCAATTTTGCGATACTTCAAAGAAAGGATTGGGAAGGCACCCTCCACATTCACATACTCGTTTTTTGGGTTCAGGGTTTTTAAAGTTTAGGGGGTTGGGAGCTTTTAGCGTTTAGGGGTTTTCATAGGGTCAAACTCTGCAACATCCATTGGCAACTCAGACACAACGTGCTCGGCCGGAAGGTGCCGCCGACGCTATGGGAAAGCGGCTAACGGTTTTTGAGGGTTTGTTTCGGGTTGTAAGGTTTGTTTAGGGTTGCAGGTTTTGGGGTTTTCAGCTTGTAGGGTTTTTAACGTTTAATGGTGGGGCACGGGGGCGGATATCATGGGGTAGGGGAAAGCACGCGCAGAGACGCTCGGACAGTGTGTGTGTGTGTGTGTGTGTGTGTGTGCGTGTGTGTTGACCGCAATTCTTCGTGAGCAAAATCCTGCACAGCCTGTGCAAACTTTAAACCCTTAAGGCCTTAAGGAATTCAAATCGAACAGATGGCAACTTAAAAAGTTCGTTGAGCCAACTGAAAAGGGGTTAACCGGCGAGTTTGACTTTGGAGTTGCTCGCAGGGAACTGTCACCCGAGAGAAAAAGTAAAGGAAAGATAGAGCAAGCGAGAGAGAGAGAGAGAGAAAGACAAGGACGGTCTAGCCCAAAAGTGGCGCTTGCTTAACCAAACACGTGGTTTGCCAAACATCTCTGTGACAAGTTCGGAGCTTCCGCCACCAAGCACGCATGAGGCAACATGTCATTTTTTGGTGCAGCGTGTTTCATCCATGATCACGTCATGTTTGTATCCTTTCAACGCGTTTTGTGTGGCCAGTGCTTGTCACCGGTTTCAAAAAGTTGTTGTGGCGGTGCTGTCGTGCCAAAGCCGCATGGTGGGCAACTTTTTGCAGTTTTCAGCTTTGCATTGCATGAATCCGATGCTCTTCCGGGTTTACATGATGACCAGCAGCTGTCCATCAAGGCAGCTCTTAAACTAACCATGCCCATGATTCAAAATTGTGCGTACAAGCTCAAGTCCATGGTACAAGTGTCGTCAATCCTGTGGTTTCCGAAAGTAGCATTTAGCTTGTGCAAAGTCTTTCACGAACGTGGGAATTTGATCTGTCGGATGGCTTTCTACACGGCTCAACAGGTTTCCTTCGCTGTCATGTGCATGTAAAGCAGATGCACAGCTGACTGTCAGGCATTGTGCAGTGAGAACTGTGGTCAGGCGGCCGGATATCCGGGCTATGCCGTGTCGCAGGCAGTGGACGCAAATGTCTTGACCTTGGCTATGATTTGAGTGTGCAGTTCGCAATGCTGTCCTGTTGTCCTCATGCCACACAGTGTGCGTTGTGTCCACACGCGTGTGGGAAATCTTGGCTCGAATGTCCGGAGTATGCGTGCATTCGGGCCCCCGATCACGATGCTATTTGACGTCATCAAATGTGAATGAACCGAGACTGGACCTAGCGGCGTTCACATACTTGCCTGTAGTTGTATTCTATTGTGTGAAGTTTGCTTGTGCGTGCCATGCCAGTATGGGGACTGTTAGCAGTGGCTTGACTGATGGATTCTCACGGGCAACGTGCTGCGTGCAGCGGAGGGCTGCAGCCCGCTGCTTGAACCCGCACTTGAATCTGCAGCTCTTGAAATGGGAGCATGACGGTGCCAAGATTGAGGAGGTGTGGTTGATTCGAGACAGCTCCCCGTCAGCAGACCTTGTGCCGCAGCTTTCATCGGAGCCCTCAGATGCGCGCCTAGCAATTGTTTACAATATCTCGGTTGGCTCCTCTGGTCTGAAACCTTTGCGACTGGACTGGCGCCCTGAGGGCTTGGGCTTTATGCAGCTTGACTAACTTGGGTACTGACACTTCAATAACCTCTAGAACTATAGACTGAAATACAATGGATAAAGTAAGAGAGTCTGGAATCTTCGATTGCATTTTGTGTGGCAAGTTGTGTTTCTGAGGCAAGGTGGCCTGTCCAAAGAGTGCATATGTGTCAAAGTGCCCTCCAGCCCCTTGCCGCTGGAAATGCTGATTATGCACCTTCAAGGTGTCGAGAAGACACTTGGCATAATGGCAAATTGTCCGGTCAATTGTACTGTATTGTAGGTGGAATCCAATTTGGCTACGGTGACCACTGATTCTGAGGAAAGAGTACGATCCACAACACTTCAACTCGCAAGATTTCTGCAACTTTGACGTGCCAGTACAGCCTAAGGGTTTTGTTTTGAGGCTCTCAGGATAACCTTTTGTCCTTTCTATCGTTGCCCATTTGAGGCAAACATTTGTATGGATTGGTGCAAGGAAATGAGGAGCGCAGCGACAAGTAAGGCCACAAGTGACGGGGGAGCAGTCATCCGCAGAACCCATAAGTTACACGTAGTAGTGCTCTGTGAGATTGAGCAAAAAGACAGAAAATGCAGAGTTCGTGCTTGTTGCGCAGTTTCTTGTCTACCACGGAGTGGGTGGAACAGAGACGTTGGCGGAGTTGCAAGGCACAGCTGCAGCAATATGCGCAGCAGCACTTGCTCCAGCAGCAGCTGTTGCAGCAACAGCAGCTACAGTTGCAACAGCAACAATTACAGCAGCAACAACAGCAGCAGATCCAGCAGATGCAGGGCACGCAAGGCCGGGCATGGAAAGTCGACTGCTTCCATTCTAGTTTCCAGTGCTGTGTGCCCATGTGTGCCCATCGCGTTCTCATGGCTCTCCGTGACTCTCGTGCCCATGTTTCTGCGGGTTCAAGATGTGGAAAGACTCATGTTTTCAAGCAGTGAAGACAGTGTAAACATCGTTCCAGAAGTCACGGCTCCAGAAGGCGGGAGAGAACTCAGTACGAGGTTGGCACAGGGTGGCAATGGATTCATGGCGGCGATTCCCGCAGCGGCAGAGGCCTCTCCCAAAGCTGCACGCGGCTGTCATGGCTTCCGGCAAAGTGCAGCCAAGACACCTCATCCCACGAAGCTTCAAAGTGACTTAACGGTGAAGCTTCGGGCAATGGATCTAGCTTTGGAGCAGATCGAGCCGACCCGGGAAGCACCGGAGAGAAGTCATAGCCAAGACAAGCCCACAGATGCTATCGTCAGTTTGGTCGAGGAGACTGTCACAAAGATAGCGACAAGCCAGATCGAGACCTTTGAGGTCGACATTTCACAGATGCATGAAGAATGTAAGCAAAGTTTACAACAGACAGAGCGCAAGATGAGCGAGTTCCAAGTTGAGCTGACGACAGCATTGGAGCAGCATTTGAGCGATTCGGAGCGTCTGCTGGACAAGAGAGTGCAAGATGTTCGAATCGAGCTGCTTCAATCGCTAGCTGCGATCGATACTGTGACCAAAGAGAACGGCGCATGTATATCTCGGCTGGATAACCAGACGCAGACACGCTTGGACCAAATGGAAGCTTCGGTTTCTTCGGTTGCCAGTGAATGTCTACATCTGAAGGAATCTGTCCAGTTGTGCGTGGCTCATGACGACTTCAGGAGTCAGTACGGCAGTTTGGATACGAAGTTTCAACGTCTTGAAGAGGATGCGCAGTTCTCACAAGAACAACTCCAAAGCTGTCGCTAACGGACTCAGCAGCTTCAAGACAGCCGAGAGGAGTTTAACATGGAGCTCTCCCTGATAAAGCAGCGGTTACAGCTGCTGCAGGAAGAAGTCTTTTCGATAACGCCTGACTTGGAGAGACGAAATCAGAAACTGGAAGACATGTTGCAGCAACAACAAATGGGGCATCATCGAGTCTCGGAAGTATTGGCAGCAGGGCCGCTGCCAGCAGTGGACAAGGGTCTCAACGTGCCATCTGTGATAGAGGCAGAAGTTCAGGACGTGCGACGGCGACTGGAGGAGTTCCTCTCCTGCTGGCCAGGATCTTTGCAGGCGGAGCACATTCACTTGGACGAGGTTCGGCACGGCATCGAAGCGCGGGTTTTGCTGGCGTGAGTCTTACTACGGTCTTATTGTATAGGCTCGTTTTACCTCGTTTTCTCGTTGAGCTTGACCCATGGTCGACGACATTCACCAAGGTGCAAGACCAGATTCACAACCTTAAGCTTTTGCTTTCTCGAGAATCTGAAGAGGCCGCTTGGAAGCATGCACGTTGGATAGTGGCGTGATGGAGACAGCGCCTTCGTTCCCAAGACTTGAAACAAATACCCCACGGAAAGCACAAGTGTTGTACCGCGACAAGTTTTCATTGATTGCGGTCAGTTTCTTGGCGTTGAGTGGGCGCGGGATTGCTCATTCACATTCAATACGTGGCTCCAGTTGCATAGACAAGCTAAACATCCTGGTGCTATCTGACAGTATCCGCGTTTTGGGCTTGTCGGGCCCCGAAAACGATCGAAAACGACACAACATGGATGCCCTGGATTCAGTTGAGAGCTGGGAAGCCTTTTTCAGACTTACGGGCTCCCACGGTTTAAGCAGTTTTTATGAATGGATTGTTGCTCTCCAGGCACCTTTTCACTGCCTGAACCCACGTGAAAAATGAACCACGACACGTTCCTAAGCTTGGAGGTATTCGGCTCTCCAGGTATTGTTCTGCAAGTTTTGTTTTTGTCAAATTTTGGCTTTTGTTTGGGTGCTGAAAACACGAGAGTGACAAGGGTTGTGCAAGAATCGGCTGAAGTGTGGCCGCCCATGTGCTGCAAGACTGGCACTGCGCATGCGACTTACAACCCATGTGAAGCCAGCCTTGCATTCCAGTGATCACCAGGGGTTTTGTGCCTTCGGTCCTTCAGGTGTGTGCATGTGCGTGCGTGTGCATGTCGTCAAGTCTAGCTTCCAGAATGTCAGGCAGTGAAGTGGCGAGAAACCACGCGGGATCCCCAGAGACAAATGAAGAAAGTAGACCGTTTGAAGGTCTTTCTGCGCATGCCTCATTGCTGAGAATTCGGGGCGAGGGTGCGTTGGCATGTCTGGCATGGCTTGTGTTAGGCAACAGCTTGCCGACAAGATTCAGGCATGCGTGATGTTGTGACTGAACGAACACGAAACAGCCTTCTAATGTGGAGATGTGGAGCCCACCGTGACTTGCGTCCTGCCCGGCTATCCAGGATTTGGATCACACACTGTCGACAGGACAGGCAGGGTGTTCCAATCGTGCTTGGCAGAAAGATGCCTATACGTTGCATAAAGAAGCTCCTTCAATGATGGTTTCGGCAGTCACTTGGAGGTTTGCCTTGAACCTTTTGCACCGGCAAATCCTTCAAGTGACGCCAAGACAGGCATGCGCAGGGCATGCACAGAACATGCACAGGGCATGCTTGGCAGATGTCTCCCTCGAAGTTCTCTTTGGACTGAGTGGTATTCCCAGTGTTTGTTTGGACTCCATGACTCTTTCAACAGGGAGACGTAGACGTGTTTCAGCATCAGCTAGAGAGGTCTCCAGCCTGTACATACTGGAGGTCAAGAGGATGCCATCGAGATGTCGCGGCTCGAGGACAACGGGCGTTGTAGAAATTTCACATTGTGTCGCTTGTTATCCTCTTGCAGGATCGGCTGAAACGAGCTGAAGTGCTGCAAAGTGAGCTGCAGTCCATGTCGCAGGTGTGGCCGCACCACCTAACTTACACAGCTTTAATGTGAATTTTTGTCATAGGCACAATCTGAGAGCATCAAGGAGGCCTTTGACCAGCTTGCATCGGCTCCATGGTGCAGGCCAGGTGCGCTTTGCTGATCGTTGCGGTGCTTACGGTGCTTGGAAGATCAGCCTCTGGCCAGGGCCATCTCCAATCTGGAGTGTGAGTTAAAGGCACTGCTGGCGGGGCAAGTGGAGGACCACGGAAGGAGGGGGAGGGTAGGGCAGATTGATCGCCAGGGATGGGCAGGCCCAAGCAAGTCAAGTTTCTTTGGCAAGATGCGGACAAGCTTGCTTCGAGTCTCCTCTGCCCTCTTTTTCGGACTTCCGTGCTTCCAACAACCCACTGGGCCGACACCGTAGAATCCACAGCATTTCGGCAAAGCAGGGCCGTTGTAATCTGTGCAGGATTCTGCAGCGGCGATACGATCCGTGGCACAGATGATTGAGGCTTGGTTTGTAGGTTTTCTGCTCCTCAGGTCTCTATGCTCTCATTCTCTCTTGGAAGGCTCCCTTCAGCGATGTAAGTGAAGAGCTGCCAAGCTTCAGCTTGTCAATACATCTATGTGTACTGTACGGCCCTCAACACCTAGCGTTGCCAGGGTTGAGAGCAAGTGCTTTGCTAAGCGCGTGATGTTTCACAGGGGGATGAAAGCCTCGTCGAAATGCAGCAACAGATAGACGTATGACAGCCTCTGTTCAGGTTCAAGCGCATTGATTTTGTCACACGCTCTTCACCCGTCGTCCCTGTCCTCCCTGTCCTCACTGCAGAATTCAGAATGATGCTCCCTAAACCCTAAACCCTAAAACCTAAACCCTAAACCCTAAAACCTAAACCCTAAACCCTAAACCCTAAACCCTAAACCCTAAACCCTAAACCCTAAACCCTAAACCATGATGCTGTTCCAGGCTGGTGCACGGACGGAGCCCGTGGAGCCCGTGGAGCCCATGGAGCCCGTGGAGCCCCGATCCGCTGAAGCTGTGAGAAAAGAGCCCCCGCGGTTGCCACGCGAGTGGGAATTGCAGATGCGATCGTCCCCGGAATCTTTGTGGATGTGCAGGCTATGCTCAGATGCAGTCGCAGCAGGACCCGGACTTAGCACCCAAGATGCTTTACCGATGCAGTTTTATCGCTGCTTGCTAGATATGGCTTCCGAAAGTGTGCCAGATCGTACACGTCATGTTTTGCCATGAACTTGCTATACCTCAAGCCTTAGGCACATGGTGCGGATCAAGTCCAGCTTCGCCCTTACGTGAAACCACCCCGCATGGGTCGGTGCATCGCACTTGCAAATGTGCTGCTCCGTGATGATTTTATCGGATAGTCTTGCGTCATCTGTACATGGTGTAGCTCATTTTGCTGCTCTACATTGGAGTACACTTCCGGCTCGAGTATGTCCAGAATCAGGCAAAGCCAAGCAGTCCAGCAGTCAGCTGGCAAGCTCACTGTTTCAGGCGCACCGCAGCTTTGATTCAGTGCTTTGCAGCAATGAGAGGGACGTGCGATACTTATGCTTTCAGCCGAAGATGAGATAGATCCCGAAAGAGATTCCAATTCCACAAACTTACAAGAGGTCAAGAGCTCAAAGTGCAGCCGTGGTGTAGAGAAAAAATGTAATCGGCAAATCTGGTTCCAGTTCCGGCCAAGCACAGTTGCTGCACAGACAACTCAAGAGTATCAGAACCGCATACTATGCAAAAGAATCACTCGCTGCATGTCAGCAACATATTGCGAAACATGGGGGAAGCTTGCAGCTCCGGATGAAAGCTGTTGAAGCAGGCTTGCTCAGCGGAGACTGGGCCACACTGCAGTTCGAGAAGCTAGGCGTTTAGGAAATATCCCGATTCAAGAAAACCGGTTTTACACGATTCAGGAAACTGCCCTGCCCGATTCAGGAAAGAACAAAAGGGTAGGGGGTGGGTGGGTCGATCTTTCCCGTTTCCCGAATCCATCCGGTGCTGGCTGGAGGACCATATTCTCATCCTCGGTGCCGACCTGACTCTTTGAACGGATGATCGATACCTTAGCTTTGCACATGTCCTGCGAGCACTGCCATGCCTCGGGCTGCGACACTCTCAATGTCGAGTGCTGTGGCCTAACCTTCACCCTGCTAGCAGTTTGCCAGCTCGGTTGCCAGCTCGGACGGCTTTGAGCTTGTGAGCCCCGCTCGGCTGACCAAGCCTTGGGTCGGCTTGCCTTGGGCCTTTTGGTCTGGGAACCTGCCCGCCTCCACTTGGTCAACCCACTCTGCAGCACCAGTGCAACACCGGTCTGCCTTCCGGATACGGCAGTAAGCTGGGGTGTTTGCTCAACAGGTAAAGAGATGAGCAGAGTTCTTGTGCTGTCTTGTCGTGGCCTGCCAGACCCGGGTTGTCTTTGAGGGTGTTCGCGGGCGGGGAATTGTGAAGCTGAATTTGACCGAAATGTGCTATGTGCGCCTTTTACTTGCTGGGCTTTCTGGCCATAGAGACCGCGTTTCACGTCTATTGTGCACTTGGCAAACTCTCCAGGATGTGTGGTGATGTGATGTCATCTGGATCCATATGGCACTTTGATGAATACTTATGGCCCATGGCTATGGCCTTGTTCAAGAATATGAGGAGCACGGCCCTTCCCAGGAATTGTTCCGAAGCCTGAAGCCCTCTCAAAAAGGATGACCTGGTTGCTGGAGAATATAAGATCTCCGTTGCGTCCACCTGTCTTTTATCCAGCCGTCTGCGACCACACGAAGTCTGCGCAGAGGCAGCGATTGTGTTAGCACCCGGGCTCGACGCCGCACATCTGCTTAGATTCCAGCATTTGGGCAACTTGCCCAAACAGAGCATCGCAGCTCAAGTTGTCGCGTTTCGTATGCACAGCTGCAGCCATGCCAACGTGAAAGCCGGGCGACGCGGGCAACTCCATAGAGCTTGCGTGTGTTTAAGTATGCACTGCTTGTGCGCATGTGCTGCGGATAGCTCTTGTGACATCTTGTGACAGTCTTCCTCTGTTTTATAGTTGCATTGCCGTTGTGCCAGGCTGCCAAAACGAGACTGTTGCTGGAATCGTCCGTGGGGAGCGACATGGGCATGTTTGCCAAGCTTGCTCAATGGGTTGTTTGTTGTCGCAGCTTCTCTTGATTGTGCTATCCGGTCAGGTACCTAGCGACGTCCGAAAATCACGGTCGCCCAGTCTTCCGTCGAACAGAACAGGCGAAAAATCTTGCTTTTGTTGGAGCTGCCACTCTGTCACTTTGTTCAGGTGTTGAAACCATATCCGTACTTGCATGCAACATGAATTTGTCCGTATCATGAAGTGCAGCAGAAGAGTGTAGTTGGTGACTGTGATGAGTTCTTTTGGCAGTCCAACAACATGGACGTTCTCATTTATTTCTGGGACGATAGAGACGGCGCGAGTTTCTCTGGATGGTCTCGGCCCTGCACATTGATTTAGCAGATTGGCTGTTGGTTTCTGTTCTTTCTGCGGTATCGTCTCTTGTTTCACAGGTGGTTCGGTCCGGCCGTGGGGGGAGACCAGGCTCGATGGCTCGTTGTCGTGCCGCAACGGTTTTTCAATGCTTGCCTGCAGTTGTGGTAATGGCCAGGTGTGGGCGTATAGCCCTGACAAGTCTATGGTGCCACCATCATCTCAGTGGAGGGTCCTGTCCTCTTGACGGCCCTATGCGACAAGTGCGCTCTTGACACTGGCATTCATACCGTTTCATACAACCGTGCAGGTTCCGTATGATGGCCCTGTTGATCCCAGCTTCAGTGTACAAGTCGTTGGCGGCCAGGAGAACCGGGTAAGGGTGCAGAGTGCAGCGGTACTTTGTAGTGCAGCCGCCATGCTTGCAGAGGAGCAGCAAGCGTCGTACCAACAGCAGCTGCGTGGATGCACCTGTGAGCAGTCCTGTGTTCATCTGGCCATGACAGTAGAGCTCCACAGCTGACTCGGGGCGTCAGCATGCTTCAGCAAGGCTGGCCCAGCAGCAGAATCAGCAGTGTTGGCCTGAGATGGCTCAGCAGCCATTGACAGTTTGTGCGTGCGAGATGCAGTATCCTTGCAGTGGCATTGAGGTACCAGCAGCAAGCAGTGCAGCAAGGCTATGCTCATCAGGGATGCGGGCAGGCAGGGCCGGCATGCAATGTGGGACTGCCCATGTGCTCAGACATTCGTGTAGAAACCGCGGTATAGTGCCCATGTGGTCCGAAAGATAGGACAAGCAAAGGACCCGAATCGTAGAACTTGGTCAAATAGGTGCCAGAACAAGTCACTTCTTCTGTTTTTGTTAAACATCTACGCAGTACAGGAAGCTGTGCACCAGGTGCATGTGGAATGCACACCAGAGCCTCGGAACGTCTTGTCGACGACAGGCTCGAACAAGGACACACACCGCAGCGAACCCATGAAAAGTGCGGAGTGTCCCAGCTTTTCAGTTAGCTTTAGATTGACCCTATCTTTGACATGGTAGCGGAGCTGCCGTTCCAGGAACCAGAGGCAGCGATGATGCTACACATAGCAGGAGTAGGAATCGTCCTCATAGCCATGATGGCTTCTCTCGTCTGTGGGATGATACAAATGTGGAAACAGGAAAAGAACGTCGAAGTCCGAGAGTTCTTCGAGTACCTCCCCACAGTCCGGATAGCAACAAGAGCAGGAAGAAGGTACCACAAACCAGGTTGTGCTCACATCAGGAACCTGACGGTTGCTGGTGGAAGAGTGAGGGACTTTGCCCCTTGCTTCAATTGCTTCCCTGAACGATACACGATTCAGGAAGTGAAGACGAGGAACATGAGATGCTACGGAATGGCAGCAGGCATAGTGCTGCTGGTTGGTTTTGCCCTGGGGAGCCTCGCCACTTTGTGCGGGATGAGCATGACTCCAGGAAGATATGGCTTCGAAGAGAATCCGTGGCAGGCCCTTGGACCCGGAAGAGCCAAGGATGAACTTGCCCTTGGAGATGACAGATCCTCCAAGGAAGAAAGACGTGGGAGAAAGGCGATTGCCGAGATTGACGAGAGTGAGTTGATGGTTGTGTGGACGAGCATCCCAGGAAAGCCCAATACGCATTCTCAGAAGAACTACGACAAGTACTCCGTGAACCAGGACTTCATGAATGCCTACACGATGAGGAGCATCGACATGTACATGAGTGAAGAAGATGAGAGCCTTGAGTCCGGCTACGCTCCTAGGTACCTAGTAGATGAGAAGCTAGAAGAAGGAAAGTTTCACAATGTAGAAAAGATCCCTTTCAAGGAACAGTTCGAACAGCTAGAAAAGAAGTTTCACGACGTCGTGCACAGCTTAGTGTTTGAAGGAATTCATCTCGTAGTTTTCGCAGGAACACCTCTAGGAATGATTACTTGGATCATCCTATCGTACTTCTCACGATTGTTCTTTACAGCAGTACAGAAAAGAACGAAGAGAGCGAAAGAGCCCAAAAGGAAAAGCATGAGAAGAAGAGCAGAAGTGAGGAGACAGCACAAGACAATGTTTCTTGTTGTGCTTGTGTACAGCAACTTGGAAGCAGCCAAAGGAATGGAAGATGCACTACAGAGACTTGCAGAAATCAACCAGCAAACGCTTCAAGGAATACAAACCTTAGCAGAAGAGATGAGGAGCAGTGCAGCAGCCGGCACAGCCCGAGAGCAAAGCATCACAGCAAGCTTCAGCAATACACTGCAGGCAATTCAGCAGCAGAGTGCAGAGGCACAGCACACTTTGCTTCAAGCACAGGAAACAGCAGTGACAACTTTCGAGGAGATCGGAAGCAGCCTAGAGAGAGCAGTGAAAGGAAGAAAGCCAGGTGACGTTGAGCTTCACAAACTCATCAAGCCTCCAGAAGTATTTTCTCCAGGAACTTGGCAAGAAGAAAAGAATGGTTTCATGGAGTTCAAGCAACGACTTCGAGTCTGGCTTGGCGCTATGGATGAAGATCTTGTGGAAACCATGGACCTCGTGGAGAACGACCTAAGGAAGAATGAAGTGCTGGACATGAAAGATATGACTGATGAGGCCAAAACGCAAAGCAGGAAGTTGTACAGCATTTTAGCGTCTTACACCAAAGGCAGACCGTATCGTGTGGTTCGCCATACGACAGAAGAGAACGGTATGGAAGCCTATAGGATGCTGTTGTTAGAATACCAGCCTGTGAATAGAGCAAGATCGCTGGAACTTTTCCACAACATCATGAATTTCCGTTTTGCCAAGGACAAAGGCATTGCAGAGAACATCCTCGAATATGAGGAACGCATTGAGCAGTACGAGAAGTCCACTGGAGAAAAGGTGCAGGAAAACTTGAAGGTTAGTACATTGATTCAAGGAATGAAGCCTGAAGTAAAGAGACATTTGTTGCTCAACCTAGATGAGAAGACGAAGTACCCGGCACTTAGGCAGTATCTTGTGAACTATGAGTCAACTGAGAAGTGGACCAATTCGCTTACGCAGTCCCAAGGAACACCCTATAGGACCACTACTGACCTAATCGACAAGGGAGAAGATCATCAGGGTGTTGCAGCCATGGATGTGTCTCAGGCTTGGAAAGGCAAAGGTAGAGATTGGTACGGGTACAAAGGTAAAGGAAAGAAAGGTGGTAAGGATTCAGGCAAGGATTCAGGCAAAGGTGGTTTCAAAGGTCGAGGCAAAGGAAAAGGTAGAGGCAAAGGCAGAGGTGGAAACTGGAAAGGCCGAGGTAGAGGCTTTAGAGGTTTCAAAGGCAGAGGAAAAGGCTACAAAGGGTTCAAAGGTAGCTACAAAGGTAAAGGCAAAGGAAAGGCCCAAGCAGCTACAGGAGTTTGCCATTACTGCCAGAAGTATGGACACTTTGAGGCCCAGTGTAGGAAGAAACAGAGAGACATGGGGTACACGGCTAGGAATGTAGAAATGCAGGAAACTCAGAGTGAAGCCCCAAGTAGAGGAACAGCCTCAACCCAAGCTCCAACATCGAGAACAGCGACAACATCAGCCAGTTCATCAGGTCAAGGAACCCAGAAGCCGATCATCAGGATGGTAACAATGCACCACATCGGTGATCCACCGACCAGCTTTCCTGAGGAGTTCGAGCTGAGCGAAGACTCTGAGGAACTTGAAATTGATTACTTCGGGAGAGTTTTGATGGTTTCGGCTAGTTCAGGAAAGTCAGAGCAGGAATTTCAGATTGGAAGTGAGAGTGATGAAGAGAGTGAAGACATAGAGAAGGACCCCTTGTACTGTTGGTACACCTCAGAACCAGAGAACTTTGTTAGGACAGTGAGAGAGAGCCCAGGTGCAAAGGAAATTGAGGTTGTGCTTGACTCAGGCGCAGATATCTCATTAGCCCCTATGTGGATGCGAAATTTCGGTAGGAAGGTCCCGGACCGACGCAGGATTGAACTCCGAGACGCTCAAGGAACTAGGATAAAAGTACAGGACCAGCGGGTTATTGAGGTTGAGTTTGAGGATGTTGGTGGAAACTGTGTGAAGGTTGAGGAAGTCTTCTTGATTTCATCAGTTGTTCACCCTCTCTTAGCTGTAGGAAAATTGTTGAAGGAAGGTTGGGCTGTAGTGGACTACATAGGGCTCGGTCACACTTGTCCATCCAATTCGACCTTCAGCTACGAGGTTCCTAAGCGTTTCACAGAGATAGATTGGCGTAGGGACTCCTGTTGTTTGGGATGTTGAGACTGTCCTGACAAAAGCTTTAGCGGTGAGGGAATTGTTGTTGTACGCTACTGCTATGGAAGTGTTTCCTTCAACCAAGAAAGTTCCTGTCTCACTACCGTTCCGAAATTCCCAAAGAGCTCAGAGCATGTCGACCCAGCTATGCTGTATCCCCAAGGAAAACATCCTTTCAGAGCTGTTTTGGTTAGAGACACCGAAGGCTGGCAGCTCTTGCACTACAACGAAAGGTATGAAGAGCTAGAAGAACCTTTTGGCCACATCTATGATGAGAGCCAGAACTTTGAGGTATTGACCTTGATCTCGTCCAAGGCATTTCCTCCTTACCTCATAGGAACACCCAAGAAAGCTGAAGACAGACGTACATTTGAAGAGTACACTGATGACAAGTGGTCTCTTAGCAAGGATGGAACTGAACTGATCAGGTACCACCACACGCCCAGGAAGACACGTTTTCATCCACTCGACTTGAAGGACATTCCCGTAGAGCGTGAGAGCCTCCAGAACGAGAGATCCACCTACGGAGAGGACCCAGTGAACCATGAGTTCTTTGAGGACAAGATGCCATGGATTGCAGATGAGTATGACGAGTTCTCATCGCCTTTCGGAGTGAGATCATGGACAGGACTGTCGAAGTTCAGGTTGGTCTACCCAGTAGATGGTTCAAAGGCCCAACAACAGGAACAAAGGCTCAAAACAGTCCCGGAGAATGAAAGCATGGAGATTGACGAACAGGAACCACAGGCCCCTGCACACAGGTATGAACTTCATGGAGAACTTACGTTCATTTATGATGGTCATGAGTACAACCAGCAGAACAGCCTGAAGATCCTCAAGGAATTGTGTACAGAACTTGGAGTGTCTAAGAATGGCTCAAAACAGGACCTCCTTAGAAGGCTCAGTAGGAAGATTAGGACTCAACACTGCTCAAAAGAAGTACCAGGAATATGCCATTCCACAACCGCTCAAGGACCAAGTCATGCCCAAACCTGAAGAAGTTGAGGTACACAATTTGACACATTTACCGTATGCCACTTGGTGTCCAGTATGCGTTGCGTGCAAAGGAAAAGAGTCGCCACATCCAACTCAAAGCCCTGAGAAGGAACGATCGTCTAGACCTACATTGTGTATGGATTTCTGTTTTACAGGAACAAGTCATGATGAAGCCCCGACGGCAGTCAGCTTGGTTTGCATTGACTCTTGGAGTAGGAGCATTGCTTGCATTCCAACTGCAACCAAAGGAAAAGGTTTGATCGAGCACATTGGCGAAGGCGTTACGTACATGAGCACTCAGCTTCAGTACCAGACTATCAATTTGAAGGCAGACAATGAAGGAACCATGAAGAAGCTCAAGCAGATCATCCTGAAACAAAGGTCAGCTCTAGGACTAGGAACAACCCTTCAAGATGCAGTTTCAGGCCAGAAGGAAACCAATGGCATGGCAGAGCGTGCAATTCAAACTGTGCGTAGGC